CCGGGTACTCGTCCCGCTCTACCAGAAACGAACACAGAAACCAAAAGGGAAAAGGAAGGAGGTGACAGGGCCAATTTGCAAACAGAGACAGTGTGAATGGGGAGGAGTAGGAAGATCACACACACACGCAAACAGATAAAAACCACGCAAACAANTTTTTTTTTTTCTGTTCTGACTGGATTTTTTAAATAGGGTCGTTTGGAGTATACGTGAACGTGTTATTAAGTAGGTGGAAGTTAATTCCTCTAATATTTGTTACTCCGTTCTGTCTATGTGCATGTTCCTTTTTTTTTCCTTCCTTTTCTGTGTAGGGTAGTGGGAGATTAAAATAATAACAGAGCGAGCAAAGAAAGAAAGAGAGGAAAAAGAAAAAAGCATTTTAAAGGCAAATTATAAGTATTTAATGGAATATATATGTCTAAAGAGGTAATGATATAGTGTAATAGTGATATTCTGATGTATTGGTTTGTATATAGCTTTCGCAGTCATCCCTGCGCGTATTGTAACACATGGAAAACGTACAGCCTTTAAAACATATAGACACATACCTATAGACAGGGGAACTCGTTTTGTTTTCATCGTTTATTTCTTTAAATAAAAAATCAAAAAAGAAATAGATTTGTTTTTCCCCACTTACTGTCTCGTTTATTTCATACAGGTATTTGTTAATGAGTACAGTTTTTGTCCTTTGGACTTCCTGGGGTTTCTCTGACGTTCGCGCTCGGATCCCACCCTAAAACAATAAATAAATAAAAAAATTAACTCCCTACTGCGTATAGGAAGATACATCCAAAAAAAAAGAAAGAAAGAATCTACTGGAAGCAAATACATAATACAAATATATATATATNTTTTGCTCTCCCGGCACGTTTTAAATTCCCAAAACCCCCGAATAGCGTAAACAAAACAAAACAAAAAAGGAGGGGGAGTGGTAAGGTGTTGTTCATCAAACACACACAAAGAGAAAGAAAAGAAAGAAAAAGATAAAGAAAATCACACAAGATAATAAAAATAAAGGAAAGATAAATAAATAAATAAATAAAATGATACACAGATACAGGTATATCCGAACGAAATTTGATGATCCAGCAAAGTAATAACCATAATAATCATAATCATAATCATCATCTAGCTGAGGTGAGTAATGTATTTCTCTGTTGAAGTGCAAGAGATCTGGGGAAGAGACAAGTAAAGGCGATTTGATGAAAAAAAAAAAAAAAACAAAACAAAACAACGGATCTCATCAAATAAAAAACAAACCAAAAAAAGAATAATAATAATAATAATAATAATAATAATAATAATAATAATAATAAGATAAGATAATAAAATAAATAGATAGATAAATAGTATAGGGAGAATAGAGAGAAGAGAATAGTAAAAAAAAACAACAATGAATGAATGAATGGATGAAGAATAGAAGAAAAAAAAAAATACAAAAGAGATGGAGAAAACCGCTAACAAAAGTATATATAAATAAATAAATAAATAAATAAATAAAAAAAAACATCATCGATAGAAAAAAAAGAAAAGAAAGGAAAAAAAAAAAAAAACGACGAGAAAACAGGAAGAAAACGCGGGACATGCACTATATAAGTAATAAAAACGGGGGTAACAGAAGTGAATACATATATATATATATATATATGGAAAGGGGATAGGGAAAAAACAAAAAAAAAAAAAACGAAAATAAATCATGACAAGGGAAGTGGAAATAAAGAAAAGGAGTTGTTAAACCCCAAAACCCCTCTTTTCTCTCTTCCTTCTTCTCATTATTATCTTCGCTGTTTCCATACTTTGTCACCCAATTCAATTCAATTCAATACAATGTCACCAGTTCGTTATCTTCATGGGATTCATCTATAAATAGTACGGCCGCAGCAACAGTTAACTGCCACTAATAGTCTCATATATATATATAT